TCATGGAGAATATATCTGTATTCTAGAAATCTGGATATAGCCAGACCACAATTAAGTTTGAATTTACTCTTTGATGTGGTCAAACTTGAATTTCTTATGATAATTAGCATATTTATGCAGCACAAAAAATTATGGTGGTAGAGTAAAGAATCTTGATCGAAGATTGTAAGTATTTTAGGTAAATTTGAAATTGGCAACAAATTGCATTGACAGTAAGAAGCATGGACACGGACACAATTTATTTTTTTAGAAGTATGAATTCTTGTCTCTGTATGTGTTGAAGATGTGCTTATTTTGATTCTGGATGGTATCTTCATTTAGGTTATGGGTGTTTTTTTTTGTTTTCGCAGTTCTTTCAGTGCCACCTCTGTTATTATTTTCATACTGTCCTAATGACAATGGTATCAGATCAATCAAAGGCAAACCAATTGCCTTGGGTAGTTCAGGACTTGTAGTTTATTTAAAAACTTAGCTACTGATCTGAGGATGTCAAAGACAGATGGAACTCAAGGCTTCTAATGTGAATGTGCAAGAAGCGATCCAAAGAAAGTGACCTATGCTGAGAGGCTAACAAAAATAGGATTTGTCTGGAGAGACTTCAATACAGTTGACTCTACAATTTTATACAGTTCATAGCAAGTGAGACAACAGATATAATTTCCAGCTCTTTATTTATTCTGCTTTGGCTCAAATTCATTTCAGAGTTCATTTGTGTACTGTAAATCTTTTTTCATTAATTTTAATAATTTGCATATAGTCGGATCTTCTTATTCTCAAGACAATAAAGCAGTCTGTGGACCGAGAAATAGTGTCTGCCACAGTGCAACAAATAATGCTAATGCAATTATGCATGCTGGGACAACTGTGGATACATTTCTCTTGTGAGATCTGGTAATCAACATTTCACTTCTCTAATAAACCTTTATGTTACACAACTTTAAGCAGACAATAAAGCAGTCTGGAGCGAGAAAAAAGCTCTTGGATCTGCTGATAGAAGATAATCTATGACGACGTAAAAACTGTGCTTTATACTTGACAGTGCTTGATTGTGGTTTCCTGTTTGAACCTTGTACTTACATTCGTAAATTATCTTAAAATTAGCATGATAGTTATATTTAATATTTTTTCAATTAACCACAAGATGAGTATTATCCTCATCAAACTTTGCTTTTTGTTTCAGCTCAAAGCAGTTAATTTGTTAGGAATCAGCCTTCGGCAACACAGAGATGTTCAGGTAAAAATTTGCCTGCAATTCTGGTATACCAGTGTTATGGTTTTACAAAGTTTTAACTTCTTTGTTCTGATTTTTGTTAGCTTGGTGAGGCCTTGGAAAGAGTAGCTCTGGTATGGATTGCGTAGATGTTTATTTTGTCTTGCACAATCTTGATCAACTCCTGCAAATTTTTGTAATATTACAGGACCGACGTTTACAGATAATGTCAGCATCATTGTTGATTTGGGTATGCACTTGTATGCATTAAGTTATTTGATCTAATGTTTCCATTCTAATCTATGTGGCAATCTATTGTACTGATATTAACCTCTAATTTGGTCTGGCCGTTGACTTTTGTAGGAGGCAAAATTGGGCAAGTTTTCCTTGTTAGAGAAATTTTGTTTATGAACTGGCAAGCTTTTGCTACGATCGGTATTGGTTGTCATTGGAGATATGGATGTGCTCTGCTTCTGCATGAGTTCAAGCCTGACTTTTGTAAATAATCCTCCGGATTTCTAATATATTTGTGTCTAGTATATTCTGATTGTACATATATCACATCTTATTGCATTGTTTTATTTTAATTTTGTTTTCAAACTTAGTTTATTTTACTATTTTAATAACATCAATTATTAGTTTGTTAATATAATTTTATGACGGGTATTTTTTTTCAACCATATAAAATTAGCACAACTTTAATAAAATAATAAAATAAGCTATGGCGGCGTTTTTTTGAACGTCACTATATCCCTACCCAACGGTTAGATTTTTAAATGTATAATGTCTTTGACGGCGTTTCTAAAACGTTGCCTAAAATGTCATAGTGACGTCACAGTACAGTTAGGTAGGACATTTGGCAGCGTTTTAAAAAAACCTCCTATACTATATAACGACCGTTTGCATAACGCCATACAGCTATAGCGACGGCCGCGTAGTCGGCGGTGTGGTACTTAACGTACAAAGAATTAGCAACGTTTTCAGTACCTTATTAGCAGTGATAAAGGGACATCTTGTGGAATCACTTATGCACACATCAATTTCTTTCATTTGAAGATTCTATTTTATTTATACCCTTTCACTGGAAGACCTTTTATCACTTCTTGAAGGACATTCATGCGCAACCATTATATTGATTTGGTTCATTGTGACTAGATATTCAATTCTCAAATTTTGGTCAATTTTTTTCCTTTGGAAGCATTTCATGTTCTTATTCTTTTTCTCATCGTATTATATAACTTGAAATTACCTTTCAAGATCAGACTTGTGCTTTATACTTCCTTCAAGTGTCATCTCATTCATCATGCATTTTTATAAGATAGATTTTGTATTATAAAGGACAAATCTAAAAGGGGCGCAACCCTTTATGCATCATTGTGCGAAACATACTGTGGTCTACCCGATGTGTTATCTACAGGGACTTGGATTTTTCTTACAGTGGTTTGCTTTAATAGTAAGTAAGCTAATTTGTGTCATTTTGTGCTGTCACTCATTTTATCTGCATTTAAACAATGCTGCAGCAAGCACATTAACATGAAGAATGGAGTAAACATGTAGATGCAGCTCCACTTTTGACAAATTGTTTCAAATAAGGTGGTGGACATATTCTTGTAGCAGCTTTTCATTCTTCTTTTCCTCTTTCTTTCTCATGGGACATATATATATACAAAACTTATCTTTAATATGGCTTTCCATTTCTTTAACTCCTTCTCAGTAAAGCATGGCTAGCGAAAATGTACAGTTATTTTATCTGGAGCAGCACCTCTTGCTACTGCTGTAGAAGCTTTTCTACTGAGTGGTGGCATGTTGTCATGTTCTGCAAGGATATGGTATGTTGTCCTTTTATCTGTACATATCAATTTAACTTATTTTATCTGCCTTTTTAGCAATGTACATGAATTTCACTCATTCTTCCCGTTGGAAGTGGTTTTTGTTTACTTATCGACCTATTTTGAGCAGCTTGTGATATATGTTCTTTGTTGCTTAAACCTCGCACTGGGAGAGTTCTATTTCACTTCGCTTGAAGGCATCTGAGAAAGTTTGATGAAATTTCTTTAAATCCATTACTCAGTGCGCATATTCCCCTGTTTCTGCCATGAATATGGACTTTACTGATTCGCACGGTATCTTCCATTGTATATCATTATCATACAGTAACTTAATTTTTTTTTTAATTTGTTTTCTTTCTGTGATGAGGTCTCACAGAAAATGCTGTGCGGGACATTTGTCTCACTACCAAATGAGCTGGGTATAGCTGTAACTCTTGGTCCTCAGTGCCCTTAATGTGGGATGTGTGCCTAGATCCTATTCTGATGGGATATGATGCCCTCTCAAGCACAACCACGCGGAGAATAGTATAAGGGGCGATACCTTGTTCTTGTATATATATATTTTGTTGAGTTTAATAACTTTAATATATTTTTTCTATCATTTTCACATAACGCAAATAGATGGATAATTTAGACTAAAAAGAAATAAAAAATTTAAAATTTAAATTAATCAATTAATAAATTAAAATTTCATTTTATTATAAGAAGTTAAATTCTGAATTTTCTTTTATAATTTCTTTAAAATTTTAAATATATCATTAGTGGTAAACTTATTATGGAGGTAGACAACTACAGCTCACATGGTCACACCCATGGGTCATGTCTTCCTTTAATGTTTCTTTTTAAAATGTTGTCTTTTGCCTTTTGTTAATTTGAAGTGAAACTTTAGGCCAAAAAGCATCTCACTAGGATAAGATTTTGGTGGTCAATCACAACATTAAGTCTCCGTTTGGAAAGTAAATTGACTTTTTGATTTTTTAATTTTTTTAGCTATTTTAGTCTGGGCTAAAAAACTTGATTTGGAAAGGACTTTTTAACTTTTTGACTTTTTTGACTTTTTTTTGTGAGAGAAGAATGTAATGATTATAGGTTGGATGTGATGTTTTGTTTGTTATGGCTAAAATAGCCTATTTTGTTTTTTGTGACTAAAATAGCCAAAAAAACCTGAAAAAACCATTGCCAAACACAGGCTAAGAAAATGTAAGAGCACAATAATAATATTAAAACAAATGTATTACTGAAATAGAAGAAAAAAAAGAGAGAAAAAATTCAGTATAGTCCCTTAATTATTAATGAAGACCTAAAATATATACCATGTCACCACATTTGTTGTTAGGGGTTAATTTCTTCCCAGTGGAATGAAACATATACTTTAAATTTTGTGCGACAAATTGTCAATCCAACAATAACAGACTTTATTGTGACTCCGACAATTTTTATCGCAAAATTTAAATTGAATATTTAAACCAATTAGAGAAAAGCCTGATAGAAAGACATTATTTTTTTTGTATTTCAAAAAAATTATGCAAAAAAATTAAAGATACAATAAGTTTGTATTTGAAATTTGAATTTAAAAATTATGCAAATTAAAATTTCTCTCATAAGGGCATTTTAGTCTTTTAACACAACAAAAATAATTTCGTTATTTTTCTAAAAAATAGTTTATCATTTGTTCCTTATTGTATTATAAATTAGAATGATTTGTTTCATAAATACACTGCCAAACAACAACCAGCCTGACTGACACACACATACACACATGTATAAAGTGCTGAATCGTAACAACCTATATTAACTGCAACCCCTTTCCTAACCTAGGCGCCCCTCCCTTACTAACATACGCCACTATAAGCCCACTACCACCCACTACCGACAATAGAAAAATTTTAATATACCCTTTAAAAAAGATATACTATATATCCATTTAATTATATTATTATTTTTAATTATAATAAATTTTTTTATTTAATTATCATCATTCATAAATTTTTTAATTATATCTTAGATTAAATTTACTTATAATATATATTTTTAATTATAATTCAAAAAATCAAAATTATAAATTTTTTTAGTTATACAGTGCACAGTATTTCCCCAGAGATATGAGAGAGGAGCTCATTGGCATAGGAGGGGTCGTGGTGGCGGAAGACGACGGAGGCGGCAGCCATAGCGGCGGCGGTCTCGCCGGCGAGGTCCGACCCGGGGTTGTTTGGGTCGATCTTGTAAGCTTGCCTTGAAGTGGTCATGTCCTCTGGCCTTTGCCAACAGTAGTGGTCTGTGTTCCCATCTCCCACCCGAAAAACAAAAACAAAAACAAAAACAAAAATCACATCAAAACTCGTTACCCACATACCCAAATTAAACAAATCACACAAATTGCTGTTCATTTATATAATTTTTTATAAATGAATTCTAGTTAATCCCACTGAAAACGACAAACAGAGTAAAACCCACAAAACCAAATCCAAGTTTTCAGTCTAATTTGAATGAAAAAAGAAGAAGCACAAATTCATGTTTTCATGTTTGGGTTTGTCTGAAAATAGAGCCATCACCTGATAAAAAATTGCTTCAAGGAGTATTTCGTGTGTTTTAAGGAATAACTTGATGTCCACAAGAACAAAAGCAAAAACAAAGAAAACATATTTTCTATTTGATAAAAGACACTACAAGACAGAATGAAACCTACAAAACCAAATTTAAATTTTCAACCTAATTTGAAATATAAAAAAAAGAAGTTCATGTTTTCATTGAATGGGTTAGGGTGAAAACAGAGCAATCAATTGATACAAAATTGCTTCAAAGAGTATTTCGTTTTAACCAACAAATTGATGATGCCCACAAGAACAAAAGTAAAAACAATGAAAACAAAATTTATACAAATCACTTTACATTCATATAATTTTTTTTATATATCAATCCTAGATCTGGTTGTAGTTAGAAACAGATAATCCCATTGAAAATGACAGACCGAATGAAACCTACAAAATCAAATCCAAATATTCAACCTAATTTGAAATATAAAAAGCAAATTCATGTTTTCATTTGAACGTGTTTAGGTGAAAACATAGCAATAATCACTGTGTTTTAAGCAAAAACTTGAAGTCCACAAGAACTTGAAATATAAAAAGCAAATCACTGTGTTTTAGGTGAAAACATACTAGCAATCACTGTGTTTTAAGCAAAAACTTGAAGTCCACAAGAACAAAAACAAAAGTAATGAAAACATATTTTCCATTTCTATACCTCTCCATAGAGGACAAAGGGATGGGGATGAGCTTTAATGAGGTAATCAGTGCCCCACTTAACAGCTTCCATGGCATTACTGAGCTCTCCACTTGCAGCCATTTGCCTCCCATACTCAACAATACTCCATGACATCATTGTAATTGTGAAAGCCATTGGTAACCCAAACTTCACATTGTCCCCTGCATCATAGTACCCTCCTACCAGATCCACCTACAACAACAACAACAACCCAATTCAAACATTTCATCAAATTGCAAAATCACAATAGTCTTCTCTAAGAGCTAAAGGCCCTATAAATGGAGTTTGGGAGGGAAGATGCCAATTGCACAGAAAATTGGCAGAGATTAATAAATGTGATGATATACCCCATACCAGAGATTAATAAATGTGAGTTTTTATTTTTGTTGTTATTCAATAATTGTAATAAATTTGTGTGTATTTTATTGCTATTTTAGGGGTTGTACACGGTTGAGAAAGAGCAGAGTCATGTGGGTTTGTTCGTCTCTGTAATGGGAAGGGTCGGTGTTCGGACTGTATTGGGTCTATTGTTATGTATAGTAAAAAAAATGCCGCATTTATTATTTTATTTTTCGACACAATATTAGTATAATAAATTTTATCACTCGTGTATATTTTCACAATGAGTATCAGTGTATAGATAATTAAATATAAAATAGGACATAGATGTCTCACAGCTGGTAGATCTCATTTTCTGTTTAATCTTTGTTTTCTAATATTATTGATATTTTTAATGAAGTATTTATAATTAAATTGACATATCAAATACTAAAATAAAATGACAAAAATTGATGGAGATTTTAACATTATTTTAAGTAATAATGTAATAAATTACTGCAAATCATCAGGAAAAAAGATCAGTTAAATTACAAGTGAATCAAACCTCAGCTAGTCTTTGACTATTTAATTGATTACTATAGTGGATAGTAACACTCGGCAATTAAATTGGAGTTTTTGGGGTATGATAGTTACTAAAACAAGAAATTAAGGGGGAAATGAGGAGCGGAAAGAGGGTCAAAAAGTTTCAAACAATGTCTAACTAACATACGTGCCCCATACCATACCTATTCTTTTTTTGAAAATTTTTCTTCATATAAAATTTGTCTACCAGTGATTTTTCTATAAATAAATGTCATTTAAATAAGAATTTTATTTTAAAAGGGTAAGTCACAATATAACAACATCATTCTTATATATATTTTGCAGACTTTTTTTTTTATTTGCATAAAAGATTTGTTAATAGAATTGGGCTATTACAATAATGGTTTTCATGAGATACTTTTTAAAGTGTGTTTAGAAACACTCTTGTAACATTTCATTTTTGGGAGGGCTCTTTTTTATTTTTTATTTTATTTTAAAAAGGTATTTTTGGGCTTAGAGTATAACAAGGTCTTATTTCATATTATTCATCAAACGTCACACCTTCTATTGATGGATTTGCTAGAATAGACATTGGTTGATGTTAGACACCAATTGGGGTGATATTTGATGAATAATAGGTGGGTAAAGACATTTGGTGTTCTAATAACATCGAATAATCTCTAACCAATAATTTTTTTAAAAAAAAAAATTTGTGCTAATTGAAAATATAACTATTTTTCTCTTATTCAAAAATGAAAAAAAAAAAATGTAAATCTTGGAGCACAACGATGTAATTACCAGAGGCACGTTCTATCACTGAGCTAATAGTTAATCGTGTGAATTTTTAAATGAAAGCTTGTTATGCCAGAAGCAAGAGAAACTGATCATTCTCTTCATGACATGGCAAGGCACTTATGCAATCATGCAAGCATACATATGGCAATGTAAATGGATGGCAAGATGGACTTATACATGAATTAGGCAACTCTAAAATAGACCTAAAACAGTGGCCATAATGACCAAAACAAGAAGCCAAAACACATGCACACATACACATAATGGAAGGCCTACACTTGGGCACAATTTAAACAACCCTCAAGCACACTTGAAAGGGATAAACAAGAGCAATTAGCATGCAACATGAGCCCTAAAAATCATGCTATAAAATGATGCCAAATCAAGTTATAAATCAAGTCAAGCATGCAACAAATGGCCTAAGTGTTCAAAGCAAATCAATGAGGCATTGAACTACACTTAACATGACCAAACATGGCATGAAAAGAAGGACCAAAATCAGAGGTTTAGCATGTTAAATCAAGGCTAAAGGGCTCTTTAGATGGCATCTAAATGGCCCAAATACAAAGGCATACACCATGGCCAAAACATGGAGCATTGCAACACATGCTTTCAAAGCATTAAAGAGACATGCAGGGCAATCCAACAAGCATGGAAATGGGACTGAAATGGCATGTAGAATTATCCCAAATCACCAAAACAATGCAAAGATGGCATGCTACACATGCACATACTCAAGGCCAACAAGCCCAAATACAAAGGAGCTATATAATGCATGCTAAAATCGACCCAAATACTTATGGACAGATCTAGAACATGGCAAAATAAGCACATAATCTTCACAAGACTAAGCCTAAAACATGCTCCAACACCCACAAAATTATTATTCTTAATAATGTCTTGTTAGTGATTGAATTGAGTCAATTTAAAACTAACTTTTACACTAATGTATAATTCAGATAGACTGTAGACAAAATTAATTAATAAATTTTCTTTAAAGAATAATTAAAAGATGGGTTTTCACAGGACCAACAAAACTAAGTCTTGTGTCCTGAAAAATAACTTGCCAATTCTTATCAGATAATGTTGCAAATGGAAAATGTTTAGTCTCTTCCACATTTCCTCTTATGTGTATGATCTTTTTTTTTTTTTTTTATAAAAAAAGTTCCCCATACTTCCTGCCCCCATTTTACTGTACAATAATAAAATTAGTGTTTTCATGGTTTGGATGCTTGAAGGTTCGTGGTGCTCTAGAAACTCTTGTGAGTGCCTTGACTACAATTGATCAGGCAAAAGCTCTGAAGAATGAGGTTCAACCAACTTTGATGAACACTGATTTGCTTTCTAGAGAAGCAGAAAGCATTTTTCTTCTTCTATGTTTGTTGGTGAGAGTTCCCACCTCGAACAATTTATTTGTTGAATTTGCTTGGATTATGCATATTTCTGTACAATATATTGACTTGGTACCTTGGCAGTTGGAGGAGGATTTCTACATACGCTATTACACACTGCAACTATTGACAGTTTTTCTTACAAATTCTCCAAATAGGTATTCTTTTTGTGGCTGCTTTCTTTATGTTATATTTTATTTTTGGATTTACTAGATTGTGCTGGGGAAAAATATATTGTTGCGTTTCTTCTCAGGTTACAGGAAGCCATTCTAACTATTCCTCGTGGAATAACTCGGCTTATGGACATGCTAATGGATTGTAAGGTGCGAAAATGGTTGACTGCTTGCTTTATTTAATTTTTATGATTTCAATTTAATTTTATTTTTCTAAACGATTGTAATAGCCTGCTTCTTAAGAAATTAGATAGACATGCATGATAAATTGAAACTTTCAGGAGCTTTGTGAATCTCTCCTCTTCTTTTTTTAGGTACATCGGAATGGAAAAGAATCTCCCTTTCAAATTCCCTAATACTGAGTTTTTCTCTTGTTTGTAAAATATGTTTATAATTGGAATTTTTTGTTTGGGGACTTTTCTTAATCGAACTTTCTAGGAAGGAGCCCAATCTTTTGGCTGTTTGTGCTGTTCCTGATATTATTGGATCTTGAAAAATGTGTCTTACAAGTTATACAAAATGAGGTCCTGTTACTTCTCACTTACTTGACTTGTGAAGCAGGGGTGAATTTTTCACCAACCATTGTCATTTTTCTTTATTTTCTTTCTTATTCAAAAATAAAATCAAGTCATGATTTTGTTTTCCTACTAATAACTGGTTGAAATATGCTTTGTAATTGTAGAAAATTCAAAAGATTCTAGTTTTTGAAGGTGCTTTTGAGAAGATTTTTAGTATTATTAAAGAGGAAGGGTGTTCGGAATGTGTTGTTGTTTTGGTGATTTACTGAATTGATTCATCTACATGTGTTATGTTAGTTCTGTTGTTGTAGACGGCGCCCGCTTGATAAGCCATTTGTTAATGCATGGCCTTCTATTAGATGCAATATCATTTTTCTTTATTTTCTTTCTTATTCAAAAATAAAATCAAGTCATGATTTTGTTTTCCTACTAATAACTGGTTGAAATATGCTTTGTAATTGTAGAAAATTCAAAAGATTCTAGTTTTGAAGGTGCTTTTGAGAAGATTTTTAGTATTATTAAAGAGGAAGGGTGTTCAGAATGTGTTGTTGTTTTGGTGATTTACTGAATTGATTCATCTACATGTGTTATGTTAGTTCTGTTGTCAGTCATAATTTTTTGCTGATAAGCCATTTGTTAATGCATGGCCTTCTATTAGATGCAATATGCAATTTATGCACTATCTTGTGTCATGCACATTTTATTGTGCCATTGTCATTTTGTTTTTTAGCAATCTAGGTGCAATTCAAGTTCAAGGTGCTTGTGTTGGGAACCTTGCATATTTGAAAATTTGTATTCAACATTAAATCTGGAAAACATTTATGTAAATGTTTAGGTACTCTACAACAAATAATTAGATTGTGGATTTCTTAATTAGATTGTGGATTTCTTTTTCCTATTTCATTTTACCAGAAGTCCTATAACATTTATTTTAAATTCTCTCATTTACTACATGCTTTGTCTGGAAGGCTTGTTTCCTTGTAAATTTTCGTTTGAACCATCTAGTTTTTTTCATGACACCTAATATGATAAATACTTTAATCTATAACATATATAAAAAGGATATAATAGTGGTGTAACACAGTGGTGTAACGCGTGTAACATTGGTGCTTGGTTATAAAGCATCTAACACTCCTTTTACCAATATCTTCCTTCCATTCAAACCATAATTACCACTCACCCTTGCTTGTTAGCTATGCCTCTCTCGACCCTCAACAATGACAATAGCCACGACATCTACAACCGATTGACCAACCAATCGGAGGCCACCATCTCTCCTTTCTTGAATCTTGCACAAAGCACATACATCGCTATCACCGTTTTAGGAAGACCACAAGCAGCAGGAACCTTCAAGAAGGGATAAGCTCATGACATAAGCGTTAAGCTCTTCAGGAGTTGAGTGGTGCGATCGGTGGAACGGTGGAAGATCTTCAAGAGTTGAGTGGATTTTCAAACCCATCACCGAAACAAAACGTTCAGTATATTTATGGCCATACATACTGGATTGGTGTATGTTCTATGAGCTGGAACAACCTGCAGAAACTGAGGTGTGTCTTATTCCTTTTGTCTATTATGAAATTATTCCTAATTTATCTATTTGGGGCTCTATTCTTGATCCTCACAATTGTTTAATTGTGTGTCCATCATGTGCTCGATCATATGACGAAACAAAACGTTCAGTATATTTATGGCCATACATACTGGATTGGTGTATGTTCTATGAGCTGGAACAACCTGCAGAAACTGAGGTGTGTCTT